TTCGCTGTGGAGTTCTCGACACAAAGCAGATTGTCAAATGTGTGTACAGTAGATTGCAAAAACGGTGGTAAGCGGGGCCATTTTGCCTGGTGTTGTTGCGCTCGCCGCGTAGCACTAGTTGAACAATCATCGACTGAGTCTCCTTCTGCGTCTGTTACCGAAAATATTTTTGCGGTCAGAAAACCTCATCAGCCAGACCATTGGCAAACATTCTTGATTGAGCCCAAGCTCCCTTTCCCTGACATTTGTATAGTTATGTTCCACCACCACCACCACTGTGCCAGTTGCGATTGAATTAGATTCTGCATCGCCAATAACAATCATTCCATCTAGCCTTTATGACAATTACTTACATGACATTCCATTGCATCCCGGATCGTACAAGTTTGACTCTTATACCAATGCCTCTATGTGCATCCGTGGATATATGGTAACGAAACTTAGTCTACAGCCGGTCGCATCCGACGTTGCTGTGTACGTGGTATCTGAAGACAGCCCAACCTTGCTAGAGCGGAATGCTATGGTCGCTCTTAATGCCATCTATCGATAGAATGCGTAGCATGGTAGTCAATGCATCAGTACATAATATTTACTGAGAAGATTGGCCGGATTCCATCTACCGCTCATTGCATATGCCATAAACAGGACGCTAAGCTATTTTTTTAAATCGCAGCCACGTCCTTTTCCCTTGGAGAAACGTGCGATAGTAGAGAAAGCCATACAGGAGATGGTATCCAACTATCTGGTAGAGCCAATTAACTGTTCCGAATGGGTGCATCCCATGGTCACGATCTTAAAGAGGGACGGTACTGTACGCATATGCAATGACTTAAAGGCGTTGAAGTCTGATCATAGTCGAAAATTTTGTTCTTCCCACAGTTGATGAGTTGCTAGTCAAGATAATTGGCGCACAATTTTTCTCAAAATTTAACCTGAAGTAGGCTTTCTTCCATATGCCATTGACACCCGAATCGAGACCACTAACGGCTTTTCTGACGTCCAGCGGTCTGTTCCAGTATAAAGTCTTGCCAATGGGGCTCAGCTCTGCTTCTGCACCTTGGCAGCAGTTCATGAAGCACTCACTAGCAGACCTATTGGGACAAGTCGTTTACATGGATGATATCCGCGTTTTCGCGCTTTCATGAGAAGAGCACGATTCAACGCTACGCCCTGTAATACACCGGTTGGAGAACCTAGATCTTCAGCTTATTCTTGAAAAGTGTACATTTTGTGCTACTGAAGTCGAATTCCTTGGGTACATCTTACCACCCGGTGGAATCCGACCATGCGCTGTTAATACGCGGGTTATCACAGAAGCTGCCATACCGAAGGATGCATCTGAGGTTAAACATTTTCTTGGTCTATGCTCGTACAACTTACGCTATTTGCCCGATTTTGCCATCCTAGCGGAGCCATGAGAATGCTGACAATGAAAATGACACGTTCGACTGGGGCTCCGAACGGCAGTCTGCCACTGAGAAATTAAAAGACGCCTCGTCTCTACAACAATGCTGGCCATTTTCGCTGAAAACTTTCCTAACTTTGTCACGACAGATGTGACAAACATTGTTTTAGAAGCGGTCCTGTCGCAGATGCAGAATGAAGAGGAAAAAGTGGTTGCATATGCCTCTAGAAAGTTATCCCCTACGGTGGTTTCATACTCCGTCGGTGAAAGCGAGGCCCTCACCTGTGTCTGGGCCTGTGAAACATGGCACCTATTCCTGTTTGGTCGAAGGTTTACATTGCTTACAGATCACGCTGCGCTAACTACCCTCCTCAGTCGAGGAACCAACGTTTACAAGCCACCGCGGATTAACCGTTGGTATGCGCGTTTACTAAAGTGTTATTTTCAAATCACATTCCGCCCTAGCTCCGAAAACCGTATGGCAGATGACGTACCATGTCTTTCATTGGACGATTCCGATAAGAATGAGGACGACGACGAAAAAGTCATGGTTTCCGCTTTACATTCAAGTGAGCTTTCCGCCGTAACTAAGCAAGAGCTTCAAGAAGCTAACCAAAGTGACGCAAATGTACAGGCCGTTTTCCGCTACCTCTCTCAAGGCTGGCCTCGCTACACGAAGCTCAGTGGTGAACTACGGGCGTTTTAAGTTTTAAGATACGAGTTAGTGGTCACTGATGGTTGACTTAAGGGAGGTTCGAGATTTGTAGCTCCACAGAGACTGACGTCAAAAAGTATCCAATGTGTACATGAGGTACATCCGGGTATCGCAAGAATGAAACGCCAACTGCAAGAACACTTTTGGCGGCCGAAAATGACTAAAATGGCAGAGGCGTGTGTCAGAAAACGGACAAGATCTCTAAGCCGATCGATGCACCCATCCAACCTATCGTTTAGCCAATGAAACCTTGGTCGAAGGTGACGATTGACATCATGCGACAATTCTATTCTGCGTCGCAGCACCAGAGAAACTGTTTAGTGGCCACGTGCTTTTACAGTAAGTGACCTGAGATTCACCTTTGTGGCGGTATGAACACTTCAACCGTTATAAGGTGACTGAAGTATCTTTTTGCTAGATTTGGGCTTCCCGAAGAAATTGTGACGGACAACTGACTGCAATTCACGAACTACGAGTTCCGACATTTCCTGCAACTTCACTATGTGAAACACGTACGAACTGTCCTGTAGAATGCAGCTGCCAAAGGAATGATTGAGCGCACAAATCGCCCCCTAAAGAAAAGTAGACAGACAACACGTTGGTCCGGTCTGCATTGGGAAGATGCCGTAGTTGAGGCTCTGTTTACCCACAGAATGTCTCCACCACAGAGCGATCAATCGCACGTTATAGGAGCTAATGTTCTGCAGGAAACTACGCACGAAGTTAAACGCAGCTATTTCGGCTACCGAAAACAGTGAGCCCCACCAACTGGAGCGTCGCCGACGTTATCATTCCTCTTACGAAAAGCAATCCATACCGTTGCGTCCCGGAACGTTAGTCCGACTAAAGGAAAGGCGGACACGTAAAGGGCAGTCAGTATGATCGCGCCCCATCAAAATTACTAGGACATTAGGGCTCGGAACATCTGGGCTTGCGGACGGCCGCCGATTTAATGCCAGACAGCTTTACTCAGTCCTACAACCGAACGCAGAGTCAATGTCCAGAAACAAGGAACAAAGCAGTGGACCTAACAGTTCAATTGTCACTCATACTGATGCGCTCATTTAGGGAGGGCGTGATGTTGTGGCGCTTCCCGCAATTTCCAGTCATGTCTGTCACGCCACTCACGCAACCTGCCAATGATTGGATGAGCGCCATCGATGGATCAATATCAAGGTCATTCCGCCAGTATTTTATCCGTCACACTATTTGAAATAGTGTCCAGAGCGTGTTCGTCTCTTGTTCTCCTTTCGTTAGTGGGTTCGACCTTAGTGATTCAAGACCCTGCTTGCGCAGGGGCCTAGTGTGCGTATTGATACAATACACGTTGGCGGTTGAAGTGTTCGCTGAGCTTGGCAATTTTGTTGCAAACGTTTCGTCACCAATCGAGGTGACATCATCAGTGCGTAGTTGAGTGGCCTGCAGTAGCATAGAGGAGCATCAGCGGGGCTCCGCTACGCTACTGCATGCCACTCAACTACGCACTGATGATGTCACCCCGATTGGTGACGAAACGTTTGCAACAAAATTGCCAAGCTCAGCGAACAGTTCAACTGCCATCTGAAAAACCTGAGCTACTAGTCTTCAATTCTATTGCCAAACAATACATGCTAGCAATGACTAACTACAGTGATCAAACAACTGATCTCATGTCCGAGGGAAAAGGTAAACTAACTTGGATCCCATTCAGATAGTGTTGGGTCCTCCCAAGTCACTCCTGCAGCGATGCGAATATATCGCTTCTTTTTCACGCCAGACTGAGATGAAGATGTGTTCATGCTCATGGACCGATACGCAGGTGGGACATACGAAGTAGGTACGGAAGGTGGTTTCAAGGATTTGGTAGCATCAGATGCAGAAGCAGACAGCGCTGCCCCTGTCGGTTCACCTGACGATGGCTGAACCAGTGGTGTGAGAGGGGGCTTTGTGATGCTAGCTAGAACTTTCTCTGCAGGACGAAATTGGCATAAATATGAAAGAAACATTGATGAGGAAAGCATAGAATCATACATTCATTAAACACAATATCATCTAAATCCCAAAGACGTTCAAGTAGAAGTAATAGTACAAAAGCAGATAGAACCTTACCAGATTTCATTGACGCATTATAGATAAACGTGTGCCAGAAAGTGGAATCAGATAAGCATGAACAACAATTACACTGGTGAGCTAGGATTCGAGTGTGCAGTGGTTGAAGAACAGCTTTTTACTATCTCACAGTAAAATAAACTGTTCCACTGATAGCTATCAGTTTGCGTTACCTGGGAGTATTATAGACAGCGCGATTCACGAGTAATATTCAAAGTGATCTTTCCTTGTTCACAGGTAGTAATTCCACTTTGGCTGACAAAATTACAGTTAAAATCGTTCAACCACTGGTGCTGACCCCCAATTTCTTCAGGGTGTTTTAGGTATGCTGTGTCGAGAGGACTCGAATTCCCCTTCCTGACCAAAGGTGATACACACACCAGGCGCGTTTAGTTCGCGACTGACTGAGAGCACAACAACAAAACAGTGGTTTTGGGAAGCTTTAATCATACAGGCAGGCAGAGTTGAGGATGCATTCACATTTACGAGATCTGAGGAAGAAGGGTCAGTAAAGAATACAACAGTTTCCTGTACGTTTCCGCACAGCCCCCAAAGCCGCTAGAGCGGACAGTACATTTATTGTAGGGGCGACGAATGGGCATGACATGAGCATATCGACGCCCTAAGGGATCGAGTGACAGTAATCTGCTCGGACTCCAAACAGAAAACCGGATGTACTCACTCGACTCAGTGCCAAACGTCTACACTTTCTATCACGTGAGAAGACTGAAACGGCGAGGTATTGTGAATTTTTTTATTATAGATCTCGATGGATTATCAGGTCACTAGTACCAGGGTATATGAAGGAGTGCGAACAGATGTCTTGTGGCTGTGATGCGATCAGCACTGTTGTATAGGTCACGAGTATACCACTGTTGCCTCAACATACCATCGAGCTTATAAGACAACGAGAAAGCCGACGATTGATCATCAGTGCCTGCGAAGCGTTGCCCAGATTAGTCAGACCACAGAGAGTAACCCTGATATCATTTAACTGTTCGGCTGCACGGCCTTTAAGTCGGTCACTGCTTTTTCCGCTAGATACGATTTTCACATCACTATAGATATGCCAATTTTGACAATTCCTTTTGTCAAACTATTCCCAAGATCACTAAGGCCCTTTCCACTCTATTCACATGAGTGCACAAAAATCAAAACCCTGGTCACGATTCACGAATTTCTGCCGGTTGGGCACAAAATTTTGGGTCGATTGAGACCAATTATGAAGAAACTGCTTCAGGACAACTGTCCGGTCTATTGCACACAAGTCCTGAGGAGCCTATTCTGCAATGAGCGACCACTGGTCGAGTGACAACAGTTCACCATTCTCACTTTTATTTATCCATCCGTAAAAAATTTTTCACCTCTGGTTACATCATTTAGTCCACTTTGGAAGTGAACCGACAACTGGTTGGTTCCGCAAATCTGTACGCCACTGGGCGCGTCCCTAGGTTGCGGATCGGGGAACGTCTACCTTACGATGGTAACGGTGAATAAGTCTCATCCGATCGCACACGAGATAAATAGGCATTTGCGGAGAATCAGCGGCAGCGTCTCAAAGCGTGGGGATTCTGGGCTGGTCATCTGATACGTCATTGAATACCACAAGAGGTCGTACAACGGTGTGTGACATCAATGTGACCGACTATAGGGTCGGTGACAGCTCACTACCGTAGACAGAATTGGGTACACAACGGAGTGCAGATGAACAGCCTCGATGACCGCCGGTTTCTACGTGGAATATCAGGGCGAATAAGCTAGTTGGATGTCAACGGCTTTCGCACCTGACAGCGAGTTCGGTTCCCCAGGTAATCTCCTGGCCTTCGCGCTACCATACTTGGGCTCCTTATATATATATATATATATATATATATATATATATATATATATATATATATATATATATATATATAATACACAATCTGTGGTACAGATATTGTGCCATCGGAATCGTGGCTGAATAGGAAAACAATATGAATAATAAGAAAAGAGCAACAAGAAATGCTTCTTTTTGTCAAGTTTACCACTCACAGTTTTTGAAATTTTTTTTTTAGTTTGTTCTTTTTTTAGGGGGAGGAGGAAGGGACACCGCAACACACTGATGCACACGTCCGCCATTGACATCGATCTTGAGCCATAACTTCCAAGGTTTTCAATCAGCAAGTATCCTCATCTCTCGGACCCCAACCAGGTAGTCGACAACAACCGGCCGAGGCCAATTGTTTCGTCAACTTTTTCATGCGGCTTCTCCATGTTGTAGGCTGTCCACCAGACCGTCTCTTCCAGCCCTGTCCAGCAAGTGCAAATAACGCACGACGGGGGTAACGCTGGACAGGCATGCGCAATACGTGTCCCAACCACCGCAGTTGATGCAGTAAGATGAGCTCCTCGAGCGAGTGGCTTCCACGTCCCAAGACACGCTAACTTCCACATTGCTTACGTGGTGCTGCCACCACACACGGGCAATGGACCGCAGACAGCGGTGCTCGAAGACAGATAGCCTGCGCAAGTCATCTTTACGAATGGGCCAGGTCTCGCATCCGTACAACAGTACAGCACGAACAGTTGCACAATAGACCCGCCCTTTGATGGAGAGACGAATATCGTGGCGACGCCACAAATGCCTCAGCCTAGAAAAAGCGAGGCATGCTTTCGAGATGCGCATCGAAATCTCGTCTCCAACAGCCCCGCCAGCAGTGATGCAACTTCCCAAGTAGACAAAGCTCTCCACAACCTCCAGTGTCTCACCAGCAAGCGTGAGTGCAGGCAGAGGCACCTGCCAGTCTTGAAGGAGAGCCTTGTATTTGGATGGCGAAAAGCACATACCGTACTTTGATGCTTCAATCGTCAAGCGGTTTAATGCAAGTTGGACGACCTGTGGATCGTCACCCAGCAAGACGATATCATCAGCATAATCCAAATCAACAACTCGACTACCTGGGAGGAGCTCAACGCCAGCGTTCAACGAATCGCTCAGAGCGTTCTTCAGGACATCCTCAATGGCAAAGTTGAATAGGAACGGATAGATAGGGCATCCTTGTCGAACTCCACTGGAGACCACAAAGGTAGGCGAAAGCATGCCATAAGCCCTAACCCTGCCCGAGGTCAGACTGTATAGAGCGCGCAGTATGGAGACGAGCTTCTCGGGGACACCGTTCCTCAGAAGGCACTGCCACAGTACTGTACGATCGACAGAGTCGAAGGCTGCACGGATATCCAGGAACACAGCAATCGTTGGCCTCTGATACACATGGCGGAGCTCGAGGATCTGGCGAAGTGTGAAGATTTGATCGATGCAGCCGCGACCAGGGCGAAACCCAGCTTGTTCTTCTCGCTGCAACGATTCGCGTGTTGGGGATAGCCTGCGAAGTATGATGGACACCAGCAGCTTACAAACGACGGGGACTAAACTTATTTCTCTGTAGTTGGAGCAGATTGTGCGCAGGCCCTTTTTGAAGATGGGTACGACTATCGATTCACCCCAAGATGATGGAACCTTCTCTTTCGACCAAATTTTCGAGAACAAAACGGTGAGTTCTCGGACCAGCGATGCGCCACCATCTTTAAATAGAGCTGGGTGAAGACCATCAGGGCCGGGAGCCTTATAACGCTTCAGGTGCCGGAGCTCCTGCTCGATTTCCTGGGAAGAGGGAGGGTCTGTTGGGGTAGACCACTCGGCCCCAGCGCGAGCGCCAGAGGTAGCAGATGGAGCTGGGGGCCAACAAAACTGCGAGCCAAAATGTTCGGCCCATCGCTCCAACCGTCGTTGAAGATTGGTGATTAAGGTGCCATCCTCTTCGCATATTGTTTCACTTATACCGGATCGAACACCTTCGGTGACTCGAAGGAGATGGAAGAGTTTCCTGGTATTACCACAGAGACTAGCAAGCTCCATCTCCCTAGCACGTTCACACCACCAAGCTTCGCGGTCCATTTGCAGACTCCTGCGCAACTCTCGACCAAGGTATTGGCGTTCTTCAACGTGTTTCGAATCCGATGGGACCAAGCGGCGTTTGTCCATCAGCGACAAAGAGTCGGCGGAAATCCAAGGTTTCGGTGGGTGACGGGTAACTCCACAAGTGCCGATACTGGCGGAAACTAACGCATCTTTGATATGCGCCCACTGCGAATCGAGATCACCGTCAATAGTTGAGCCAAGCAAAGTTGACAGTGAGGCTTGGTACCTGGTTAAGACCGCAGTGTTTTGTAGATTTGCGACGTCCGGTCGGTAGTGGGCGCGCTTAGGTGATCCTCCGAAACGCATGTAAATCTTAGCACGAACCAATGCGTGATCAGAGTCTAGAAAAGTTGACCAGTACGATCGGCAGTCCATTACGCTTCCGCGCCATCTGTAGCTGATTGCTATGTGGTCAAGCTCCTTGGATGCTCTGAGTAGTTTT